AAACTTAAATATAAAAGGATTGTTAGAGAAATATGACAACAATCAATTAAAAAACTTAAATGTAAAAGGATTGTTAGAGAAATATGACAACAATCAATTAAAAAACTTAAATTTAACAGGATTGTTAGAGAAATATCACAACAATCAATTAAAAAACTTAAATTTAAAAGGATTGTTAGAGAAATATCAGAAGAATCAATTAAAAAACTTAAATTTAAAAGGATTGTTAGAGAAATATCAGAACAATCAATTAAAAAACTTAAATTTAAAAGACAAATATACAGAGTATGAGAAGTTAAAATTTTGAGTATGATTAAGTACATGAAGTATAGTGTTTATTTCAACATAATATTCTTTACTAATAAGTGAACTTGTTCCATCCCTAGGAATCCTTCCTTTATCATTCATTATTCAGCAGTGTTATGGACATCATTTTATATGTATCAAAGTTGGTGAAACAAAGATGGCTAAATCATATTGTGTTTTATCACAACACATTCAATCAAAATTATAAAAGTTAACATTAGAATGGTTTTTCACAACCCATTAACAAATAAAAAGTTCCCAAAGATATGACTGTGTTATTGTAGGGTGGGTTTCTTGCAATCGATATAAATGTTTCAAATTTTCCTGCTCTGAACAAACAACCAAGGTGTATTCAAATGGTTCATCAGACCATAGTTGTTTGTTCAGAGCAGGAACAAGGCGTATTCAAATGGTTCATCCGACCATAGTTGTTTGTTCAGAGCAGGAAACAAGGTGTATTCAAATGGTTCATCCGACCATAGTTGTTTGTTCAGAGCAGGAAACAAGGTGTAATCGAATGGTTCATCGGACCATAGTTGTTTATTCAGAGCAGGTAACAAGGTGTATTCAAATGGTTCATCGGACCATATTTGTTTGTTCAGAGCAGGAAACAAGGTGTATTCAAATGGTTCATCAGACCATAGTTGTTTGTTCAGAGCAGGTAACAAGGTGTATTCAAATGGTTCATCAGACCATAGTTGTTTGTTCAGAGCAGGAAACAAGGCGTATTCAAATGGTTCATCAGACCATAGTTGTTTGTTCAGAGCAGGAAACAAGGCGTATTCAAATGGTTCATAGGACCATAGTTGTTTGTTCAGAGCAGGAAAAAAGGTGTATCCAAACTGTTTACCAGACTATTGTGTGTGTTTTAATTGAGAGTATAAAACATTGTATTCAAACATTATCATTGAAGAATGCATGGATAAATCTAGGTATGACTTTAGCATGATAACTTTATAAAGTAAATTTAATGAAAAAATCCTAGCACTTAATATACTACAAATACATGAACAGTATTTTCTGACCGTTTCATAATGTCGTCTTCGAGATAGAGAAGATAGCTATTTCCTGAAAACATGGGCTGGGCTATCATCTCCGTCACCTCTGAAAAACACAACATTTCAAAATGAATGCTACATCTGTCAGTCTTTCAAATATTAATTAATTCTCACCGATTCAACTTTAGTTTTGGGGCATCATTGGGGTGAAACGTTATAAAAAAAACCGACGGATATTTCGGATACCTCATTAAAACGTGCAGGTTGTTTATAGCGATGTTGTCGATAAGCATTACTTATTTGAAGATTCTGTGTTTTAATTATAGATCGATAAATATTCGTTTTGAAATTTTTGAGCTGGCTTTTAAACAACTCAAGTTTTTACTTGAAAGACAGTCGTCTGAGCCATTACAGAAATCTACAAATTAACGTGTTTTCACCTTGTTGACAGTTGGTTCCAGCAAACCCCAGTAAGCAATGGCACGTGTAGGAGTCTATCTTTGGAACACACGTGCCATGGTTTTGACACGGCTTGCTTACACACTCATGTTCACAGTTAGCCACGTTAAGTCCAGACAGAGCGTCTTCCAGCAGCTTCACTGGCTTATTGTCGAGGATAACCTACAGAAGGAGATTACAACAAAACCATACTGTTACGTGTACAACCTTTCATGTAATGAGGCCAAACCTAATACTGCTACGTGTACAAGCTTTCATGTGGTCAGAACAAAACCATACTGTTACACGTATAACCTTTCGTGTGGTCAGAACAAAACCATACTGTTACGTGTACAACCTTTCGTGTAGTCAGAACAAAACCATACTGTTACGTGTACAACCTTTCATGTGGTCAGAACAAAACCATACTGTTACGTGTACAACCTTTCGTGTAGTCAGAACAAAACCATACTGTTACGTGTACAAGCTTTTCATGTAATGAGAACAAAACCATACTGTTAGGTGTACAACCTTTCGTGTAGTCAGAACAAAACCATACTGTTACGTGTACAACCTTTCATATAGTCAGAACAAAACCATACTGTTACGTGTACAACCTTTCGTGTAGTCAGAACAAAACCATACTGTTACGTGTACAACCTTTCGTGTAGTCAGAACAAAACCATACTATTACGTGTACAACCTTTCGTGTAGTCAGAACAAAACCATACTGTTACGTGTACAACCTTTTCATATAGTCAGAACAAAACCATACTGTTACGTGTACAACCTTTCGTGTGGTCAGAACAAAACCATACTGTTACGTGTACAACCTTTCGTGTAGTCAGAACAAAACCATACTATTACGTGTACAACTTTTTCATATAGTCAGAACAAAACCATACTGTTACGTGTACAACCTTTAGACGAACTTCTAACACAGATCTAATAAAATCACACTCTTGCTTATACCAGAAAACCTTCAGACGAACTACTCGTATATCAGAACAATGTCATATTCTTGCGTCTATAAGAGAAATTTTTTAGAACAACATCTACAGTCAGAACAAAAAACCTGTTTTTTTTGTATAATATCTTTCGGTCAAACTTTGTAAAACTTACTGCCTGCTACAAAGAATATATAAGCAATAAATACTCGATTTCGTTCATTTGTTTCCAACAGCTTAACTCTGTTTAAAATTCAATTCAAGAAATGAATCAAACATAACATTTTTTCCTTCATCCTAATGTTCCTAATTCTGCTTGATGCGTTACTCAAGGTTCTTTAAACTATTTGATAAAATCAATCAAACCTCTAGCGTATTGTAAATGTCACTCCCGGTTGGAAATACAGGGGGAGTTGAAGGTTTTTAAACACTGCTTTTGGTATTGATTAACATAATGGACCAACAAAATACGGGACTCAGTCTCAACCAATCACACAACAAGTCTTGGAATCAATTTGCGTTTCTATATACAGTATTCATGAATTTAATGTAAGTAGATAAGAACTTAGTGAAATAAGGAAAGAAGCAGATAGAGAAGGACAGGATGCATGATAGTTATGTGATAGAAATTTAGCGATTACCTAGCTACTAGAATTAAACGAACCAGCTTAATTCGCTACTAACCCACCCTTGAAAAAAAAATGCTGCACACAGTTAACTCTCAAAACTAATCAAAATACGAAGTGGTGCAACAATAAAATTAATCAAAGTACCACGTGATGCAACAATAAAACTAACTTAAACACCACGTGGTGCAACAATAAAACTAATTAAAACACCACGTGATGCAACAATAAAACTAGCCAACACACCACGTGATGCAACAATGAAACTAGCCCAAAACACAACGTAATGTAACAATAAAACTAATCAAAGCATGAAGTGGTGCAACAATAAAACTAATCAAAGCACCACGTGATGCAACAATAAAACTAGCCAACACACCACGTGATGCAACAATGAAACTAGCCAAAAACACAACGTAATGCAACAATAAAACTAATCAAAATATCAAGTGGTGCAACAATAAAACTAGCCAACACACCACGTGATGCAACAATGAAACTAGCCAAAACACACAACGTGGTGCAACAATAAAACTAGCCAACACCCCACGTGACGTAACAATAAAACTAACCAAATGATGATGACAAAACCTTGTCGAAACGTCGTACATTTGCTGTTATGTTAGACTTATATTAAAGTGTTTCTTCTAAAACTAACCAAAGCACCACGTGGTGTAACAATAAAACTTTATTGTTGTAATAATATATTTTTCTATTGAGAGTATAATCCATTGTTGTCAACTTGTGATGTTTTAGCAACAAGGGTCAAACTAATTAGAATCACGTGACACGGCAACGACAAGTCCTATGTAGGGATGGCTCGGATTGTTCATCAAAATGATATTTCAAATATCTCCTCAATAGGTCATCAGAACTTTACAATACTATACACTGATACCTATTATAACAATATTTATGTAATGACTGAGTCACAAGTTCTGGGAATATCTGTAAATATAATACATAGCAAAAAGTTTGAATTTCTTGTTCTTCTGCTTCTTTGGTATTACATGATAACTCAAAAACCAAAACAATGGTGTCAACCAATTTCACTGAGATGACGTAGTTTCAAATGTAGTATCTATTTTTATAAGTATTAATAATAATTAGTAGTAATTTAAAGAAATGATAATTCTAGTGTTAACAATGTTATCATTACTCCCTTGAAGTTAGTGTTTGTACAAAATGTTAATGTTCGTTAAAAAAGCTTAAGTACAGGGTGCATCCCTACATTTACTTTGAAATGTTTTTTCTTTACTTGTTTTTTTTAATACAGTGTTTCAATAGACATAGGAAGGTTGTATTTATAACCAAGTTCTAAATACACTGAGGTTCTAACTGTAATATTTATTGTTTATCTATTATTAGCTGATAATTCACGTTTACTAATATCAATCCTTCAAAAACAAGATAGTAAAGATGGCATTTATATCATCCGTACATAATAGCACAGGCAAGACTTAAAATATATCAATATATATATATATTATCCCATTTTTGTCTCTTCACATTCTACTACACTGTTTTTTTCATTACTTGTATGATGCGTGATTCCTGATAATATAGTCTCTCGTTCACGTCAATATCAGGGAAACGTCGTGAAGACGTATAGTTCTAGAGTTGAGCACGTTATTCAGAAAGTTCTGGTAGATACAGCGATAAACACATATATGTGGGCGGTTTCTCTAAAGTGTTTACTTACTTCGTTAGATGACGCTTCGGTTGTCTTAGAAGTGACAATCCTCAGCTTTTCTTTGAATCCCACACAAAGTAACATCTCCAGAAGGGATTCAATACTTATAGAAATGAAATGTTTACATAAAACCCTAGAATTGTTCTTTGTTACTTAGCCAGTCATCTGGAGAATGAGGATGGTTAAACTGAATGCAAATATTAAAATCAAGTAGAGATTAGAACTTATTTTTTCGAGTTACTGTTGATACCTAACGTACAAAAGAAGGATTGACACATATGTTTGTTATTTTTCATATAACCTAAAATGTTTTACGTTAACCAATATTGTTTAACGTTTGGTCGCCCTCACCTCCAGAATGCACCCTGAGAACGACGCTGTAATACCGGATAACTGTGCCACATCGTTCAAATCAGGAACGCCCCCTAGGTAGAGGTTAAGAGGTAAAGACAGCTGAGTGAAGGCCCCTTGTGACGTACCTTCCACACGGGGTTGGTCGTCTACTTCCAGAACACCATTTCGGCCTGTCCGGGACACGAACAAGGTGTGCCATTTGTCCATTTGAACTGATGTTGGACTCCTGAATAAGTACAAATGATAGTTGTTTACGTTTTGTATCCTGTAGGAAGGAACTTTATTTAACATAGAATTACCAAACAACCACCCGGTGTTGTGTTTTTCATGTGTAACATGTTTCTTGATACAAACTTTTAAAGAACAGGTATACACCTTCGTTGTATAGTATGTTTCTAATATTCAAAAACTTCTCCAAAATCTCTGATTAATTTATTACACTAGGTTACTTTTGTAGGGTAATATTTTCTGATTATAACTTAGTTTCGTATAAAAAAAAGTAGTTTTCTCACATTTTATTCGTTATAACGTTCCAAAAATACAAGAACTGAAAAATAAAAACTGTAAAACTAATTTCAAGTAATTACATTCACGTAACTAATTTCAAGTAACTACATTCACGTAACTAATTTCAAGTAACTACATTCACCTACAATCATGTAACTAATTTCAAGTAACTACATTCACCTACAATCATGTAACTAATTTCAAGTAACTACATTCATGTAACTAATTTCAAGTAACTACAATCATGTAACTAATTTCAAGTAACTACATTCATGTAACTACATTCATGTAACTAATTTCAAGTAACTACATTCATGTAACTAATTTCAAGTAACTACATTCATGTAAATAATTTCAAGTAACTACATTCATGTAACTAATTTCAT